ACATGACGTTTCTGTTGACGTCACCACATGCAGCAATAGTGGTCATCAGTGCTCGGTTAATAGCTTGCATTGCTGGTTTTAGCTTGCCCTTGACGACACCGTGGAACTGGAAGGTTTGCCTCGTGGTCAGTTTCATGGTTTCATTTCCTAGACTTGTGCTGATATCGTCCATCTGAATCCATTGTTTTGGCGTCGCAACTCCGCCGGGGAGTCGGCATCGGATCATGAAAGAATATGCCGGTTCCAGCCCCTGGGCCTTCCGTTCATCCCGGACATCTCTGTCATCTTGCATATAAGTACCATGGAACTTGGTCAATTGTTGGTCAGAAGCAGAGATGGCACCAGTAGATGTGTCCTTAAGACCTTCCAAAATTGTGCCTCGCAAATAGTTTGACGCGATCTTGATGTCCTCATTCGTAATAGGCGGTGGCTCTTCTGGAAGTCCCTCCACGTTGTCTACTCCTAATGCTTGCCAAACTTTGGGTTCCCATTCTTGGTACCCAGTTTGAAAACCATCGGGATCCTGGTCATCACCTAGGCCAACACCAACGAAGCGCTTGCCTCCAAGATTGCTCAGAACGCGATCGAGATCCTTCGCAGGCTTGTTGTAGTAAATTTTGTCTTCTTTTCGAGGCCAGTAGTGACTGTCACCAAGACCAAACACAGAGAAATTCACTGTCGCAAGATCCAAATCGGTGTTGTCTTTGATGCCGTCCCAGAATGGTAAGCCATTTTGAGGGAACTCTCCTTGGCCAGCGGTGGATGTGATAAAAACAATGTTGTCCTCTCGTGGAAGGTCTTCAAGAGGATAATCCTCCATAGCCAGCACTGCCGTCTTCAACCCGCGAGCCCTTCCTCGGTTACCGAGGCGCTTGGCTACAGAGGCGGCATTCCCGTTGTCAGAAGCAAAAAGAATAGTAAGTGGTGCGCCAAGAAGGCCTTCCAGTAATTGATTGTAGGCGTCCTTAGCTTTTTTCTTTTGCTGGGCTCGTACTTCAGTTCCAAAATCTTGTGCCAAACTCGCAGCAAATTTGGGTTCTTTCTTCATAAGCTGGGTGAGTTGATTATCCCTAGCCAAGAACGTTTTCAATTCCTGCTTCACCACCTCCGAGTCCAAGGAGAAATTTGGCTCGCCGTTTAGTTCGTTTGCTGGGTTCCATCGATACAAAGGCCAATAACCAACATCTACAGCCTTCTTCGTTTCTTGAAGCACAGTCAGTGGAGAATCAGATTCGCCAAAGTAGGGAAGATAGGCTAAGACAACCGAAGGACCATCGAACTTGTCGGCCTCGAGCAACGCCTGTAGCACTTGGGTGTATGAGCTATACACAGCGGTTGATGCCACATAGACATTACCAAAGTTCATAGCATATAGACCAATGTCCTTCTTCCTTCGATTGGAGTCAACAGCAGACTTTTCCGAGTACGGAGTAGAATCAATAATCAGCATATTGATGTCTTCGCCAGATGCAAGGACATGGTGAACTCCAGAGTTTCCGAGGTCATATGCCCACGCATCTGAGCCCATCAGCCACAGAGATTCTTTGCGGAAGAGACCGCTTCTGGTGAGAAGCTTCTGGGCGAGAGGGGAGCCGTCAGCTTCCAATCTTGCGACAACTTCCTCACCGATATCCACCGACTTGGCCCCGTCATTGGCATGCACAGCCCACCGAGCCAGCCAACTCTTCGGTTCATCTGATTTAAAAGTTCCATGACTTGCTGCATCCTTGACCTCGGAAATAAACTTGCTTCGATATTCCTTTCGCGCTAAAAGTGACCCAAACCCAAACTCGGGGCTGGCTGAGATAGACTCAGAAACGCCTGCATTGTTAGATTTCAGGGCATTGGAAATATATGTCCTGCTTCCAAAGACTTGGTCCAGGATCTTGGAATAAGCAGTCTCGAGCTGTGGTTTTCCCAAACCATATCCAGCTGGGTGCTCTAATGTCGTCTTGACCCCGACCTCTAGGTTCTGAACAGGCTTTTCCAGGGTGAGATTTTGAACGATGCCTCTCAGGGCTTGTGTCGTTGTTTCGGGGGCGATGTATCCTAGTTGGTATCCGACTATAACCTCCACGCCACCGGGACCGCGATTAACAGACGATAGAACATCGATCAAGACAGGGCCCCATTTCGTAGTTGCTCTGTGAATCTGTTCTAGGACAGCAAGTCTTTTTACAGTGTTGGGAACCGACTCAACAAGCTTCGAGCCAATCCACGGACGATATAAGCGTGGGGTCAATATGCCTACATTGGCAAATATCTCATCCGCCTTAGCATTATCCACAGTTTCTGCAAAAGAACCTGTGTCCGACCCGAATACAAGCAAACAGTTCTCGGCGTCGAGAGGGCCAGTATATTCAAACGCGGCGTATCCTCTACCCAATGCAGCCTTCATCTGGGACCAGATGCGGGCGGCACAAGTGTATATGTCTTCTGAGGTAACCTGAGGAGGCATCGCCTCTACCGTGGTTGCAACAGAAGAAGGCGCGATGGGAGTAGACGCCTCGCTGGACTTGATGGAAGTACCGGCTGAGGTGGCTTTGGAGGCATCAGCGCTGGGCGGCGGCTGGAGAGGAGTATCCTTGGTGCCATTGCCGTTTATGACGGTTTCCGGATGATCCGAGGAGACTGCAACATGACCATCGTCTGCATAGATGCCCGCAACGGAAAATTGACCGGCTTGAAAGCGGCGGACACTCTCAATGTCAAGAATTTGCCGCAAGACAGATGTGTCCTCAATTGCTATGGGCTCGTCAGCATTAGACGTTTCTGGTGCAAAAAAGTGAATGACAGCCTTGCCCGTGCGCACAGCCAACGCATGGGCGGTCATAGCCATATCTTGGGCCTCCTGCAACGTTTCGGACTGCAAAAAAGTCCAGCCTGCGTTTCGAATGGCTGTGATGGAAGAGTAGTCTGCATGTTGCTGTGGCTGTAGCGACACATGAAGGACAACAGGATAGTTGGCCAGCTTATAGAGGTGAGAGACTGCAGGTAACAAAATGGTCGACGGCGCAGTAACGGATACCAACTTGCCCGAGCGTACCGGCGTATACACAGAGAGCAGCGGATCAACATTGTGACGAATCGATTGCACCTAGGTCCTGTTGTGTGAGGGATTGCTATATGCATCGGGGAGCCATAATGGCATGTACATCTCTTCATCTTACATCTGGTACGGCATCTGGGCCAGAGGCAACCAGCCCACGGTCGTTGCGGCTGGCGTATTGCTTGAGGTGAGATGAGAAGGCCGAGTCGGTAGCCAACGAGGGCTGGACGGACACGATGACATCGCTCGAGAGGTAGGCAATTCTGGCCACTGCGCATGAGAGAGAGGCTGATTAGCACCGTTTCTCACTGGTTTGTGTTTCTCAAAGGTAAAGCAGCCAAGCCGCGAATTGGCAGACAAGAGGAGATGGCGCGTCAAGCAAACAATGAAAAAAAACGGCCAGGATGTAAGTCGGCAACACATGCATCTTCACAGGGAAGGCAAGGCCGGGCATGTATCTCGGTGTAAGGTACTCACCAGCCTCTTCAGGCGTGCGAATTTGATGAGACGCATCCATCCTGTCTTGTCCAGAGTCTTGCTTCTGCCTGAAGAGAAAAGACATGGTGGACTCGGGTGGCAGAAGAAATAACTAAGAGTTTCGTGGATGGTAATTATGGGCGTCGAGAGCCGGGCTTCGGAGGCGACTCCATGCTCCAGAGTCCAGTGTCTAGACTAAGAGTCAGGCGGGAGAATGGCCAGGCACTGGGGTCTTCCTGGGCACTGTTGCTCTCGAGCTAAAGTGCTCCCTCCGAAACCCGAACTTTACCAGTTGCTGGTAGTTACATGTCTCTTGTCCTCTAATACCATGTAAAAACCATACAAAACCACGCAGCACGACTTGGTACCATCAATCTCGGCCAAGCATCGCCAGGGCAGGCGAGACCCAGAAAAATTGGCCCCGCGGCCCTGCAGACCATTGGATACTGCGTCTTCATACATGGCTCGTGTGCTCGACTGGCTGGCTGGCACTCAAACTCGCCTTGTACCCGTCCTGTGGCTCCATTCCCCGCAAAGCAATCATTTTTCCCAGGATTGCGTGATCGCTTAGCGCTGCGAGGCATGCGCCGGGGGCGATTGCGAGATCGCACATTACAAATTTCTCTTGTTAGATTTGCGGGTGGCCCGACGTCCAACTACCTACCTACCTACCCGTAGGTGTAGGTAGGTAGATAGGTAGTTACTCCCTTCAACACTCATGAGGCAGCCACATGCAGCCCTTGCCTTGGCACTAAATTATGTACTGAGAAGGAGCAATTCTCCGTTTGACTCTTAAACACTGGACCGTACGGGAATGTCGCAATCCTCTGGAGCAGTCTCACTAGGACTAACCGACTTCCGCTCTGCCGACAGACCGACGACCGACGACCGACGAACGCCATTCACCAACAACATTCGGTTTCGTGAAATCTCAGTTCTCGTGCACATTGCCGAGTGTCATGTTGAGAAGGTATTCCTCGAGTACAGTGGATACAGACAAAATTATAGGAAACTCTCCCCCCCTTTTCCTTTTGTTTGTTGTTGCTGCTCGTCGCTCCTTCCAGGCTGCCATATGATGTTATAACTAGTTGAATCAGTGCTGCTTTCTCTGTTGGTTCTCTGTCTTGGACTTGTTTTTCCCACAGTAGCGTCTGGTGTATTCACGTGCAGTGATCGCCCATGCCTGTCAGTTCCAGTTCCGGTTCCGGTTCCAATTCCAATTCCACCAGTTCACGATAGGATAAACGTTACCCCCGAGGTTTGTATGAATGCCTTACCGGTGGAGAACATTTCACATATTTTTTGGAAATTGATCGTGTCAGTCCGCGGCAATCGGTGAGGAGGCGTCCTGAAAGCAAAATACATATTGCCCCGGTATGCCATATCAAGTATTGGGCATAATTATAAACGATGAAATGCGATGCAGTAACATTACCGTGCACTACATTTACACTAGTCGCAAGCTCAATACAAGCTACTGTGCTATAATATACCGTAGGAATCTACTAATGCGGGTATTCACTTACAGCTCCTGCATCATGTACATATGTACAATGTTCAACACGCTCCCACACCCCGAATCTTCTGACTCTACCCTGCTGATTGTGATGCGTGGAGTTCGGATCGCGTCATCGCCCCCTGGTCCTGCAATTGATGCAGAGAGAAAATCGTTTCAACCATCATTTCTTACACTTGGCCCGCTAGAGTACCATTACTGTGCGGTTTTCCGTCTACACTCCTCTCCCAGTTCTCAGATCCCGGGATATCCAACCAGTATCCCTTGCCCAAAGACACCATGAGTCTGCCCAGTCGTCCTTTTCGGCCGTCACCGTCTGGCAGGTCAGCAGCGAAGGGTCCTTCGTTCTCATCCACACCAGGTCCCTCAAGAATCATCAATTGCATATATTTTTGCAATACTTGGCGGGAAAATGCCATCACCACCAGGCTGAAGTACACTCGGATGAGGGTAAGTCCCACAATCAACACCATGCTAGTAGCCGTCTCTTGAGGTACAGCTTTGCCATGAACAGCGCGCTCTCGCCGAAGGCCGTCGAACCCTTGTGCAACAATGCCTGGGAGGGATGTAGATGCTGAATCCGATTCGTTGTTTGCGGTGCTCGCAAAATACCAGTCAAGCCCAAACGTGGCCGTATAAGCTCCGTTTATCGTCGTGTCTAGAACGTATAACCATGCTAATGCCAAGCATTCGAAAGGACTCTGTCGTCGGATATAGGGAATAAGATACACAAGCAGTCCCAGGACACCGATCGAGTACACGTACGTCGACAGTTGAAGCAAAGATAGCTGGTAACCAGTCAAAATTGCCAACAATCCATAAACTCCTGTGACCTTGTTGAATACCAGCGCCAGTGAGATGAGTTCTGTTCCAGTCTGAAGGCTCACTAGGCCAAATAAATTCTACGCGAAACTCATTAGCATTTCCCAGCGTCGAAAATCAACAGAGCTCGCTGGTCTTACCTGTGGTCGCGGAGCCCTTAGATGTAGTCTTGTAAACTTCGACATGATTCCCGAAATGCGCTGCAGCAGGCGCTGTGCCAACGAGACACACCGAGAAGAATTCGAGCGAACGGCAATGGTTGATTTGAAGCCAACAGCGGAAGAGGCGTCATGTAAAATCGATGAGAGGTCGCATGTCCCCACTCTCCGCGTTTTCCGCAGCCCGCTCTACCAAGTCGCGGTTGGGCAGCCCAGCCAGGTGAGGTGATGTAATCCGTTCGAGTTTGAAAGGGGGTCAGGTCAATAAACACGTGACTCGACAGCTAGTGGCAGATAACATGGCGCGCACTCATATCGAAATTATGCGTGAGCTTGAGCAGATCTACAGAATAAAACAAAATGCCATAACAACCGGCAGGTCCGCGTGGATTTACACAGATACAATCCGGGCTGCTGTCCATGTTCGCGAAGGAAACAAGGTTTAACCATAGTCTATTAGTAAAACAAAGTCAAGAGTGTGCTGTTCCAAAGCAGAGTGACTTATTATTACGTATACGTAGCGGATCGTAGGTTCGTGGTTCTTGTTGTATTATACAAGCTATATTCACAACCCATGTGCACACTGGAGAGAAACTTTGGTGTGGTTCAGTGGTGATGCTAGCGGGCATACAATCAACACGGGGATATTCTCCGCGCCCTTCGGGCCCACGATGGATGGTTAGCACGAGCATCCCTCTTGAGTAGGCTGTGATGTATTTGTTTTAACATCAATCACTGTAGATGAATTACATTAGTAAGCTCCATGCTGAACTCAAGAGGGGGCATTTTACCGAGCTACACTTACTCTGACTGGATGCTTGAGCTGCAGCATCAGCTCCCTCCATACCGGGCAACGCTTGCGCTATCCGTTTGAATAGGTTTTTGACGTTGTGGCCTAGCTTCGCACTAGTCTCCATAAACATCAAATTGTTCTTTTTAGCTTCATCCTCCCCTTGTTGTGTCGTGACTTCACGCTTCTCGTTTAAATCAGTCTTATTGCCGACCAGCACAATAATGACATCGTTGCCTCGTTCCGCCCGAACATCGTCGATCCATTTTTTCGTGTTTTGAAATGATTTTGCGTCTGATGAGCGTGTATCAGTAAAATGGCGTCAGTTTTGATGACTAGAGGCTTCATACTTGAGATGTCATAGACAACCACTGCCACGCTTGAATCTCGAATGTATGATGGAATCAGACTTCGAAATCTCTCTTGTCCTGCCGTATCCCAGAGTTGTAGTCGCACCGTCCGGTCTTCAAGATACATGGTCTGTCTGTGGTTAGGTTTGGTAGGATGTGGCAGGTAGCGAGGTACCGACCTTGGACAGAAAGTCGATGCCGATGGTCGCTTGATACATGTTATCAAACGAATCGTACATAAACCGTGTGATGAGAGAAGTTTTTCCAACTGCATAAGATGGTATTAGTTCCATGGACATACTCGGGTCTGGGTTGTGGGTATCTTGCCGCTCTGCTCCCCCAGAAACACCAGCCTGAACATGTCAGTATCAGATAAGTTGCAACAAAAGGACATGGCACACATACTTGAATTTCTTCAAGGGATTGTTGTAAGACCCTCCAGCCTGCGCCATATTCAATATCTGGTCACGACAGTCTCAGCAGTTCGAAGCGATTAGAATGCGAGAGGTAGGACGGCAGCAATGGAGCAAAGAATGGCGGGATGGTTGAGCGTCAGCCAGATTATTCGACAATATCAATTTCAAATCCGATACCTAGCAACGGCCTGTGCACCGTTCGAAGTGCAGATGAGGAGAGCAGATTGCGCCAAACTACAAGGCCCCAGGCGTATTCGCGAACGGTCACAAAACCCTGCACCAAGGGTTGCGGCGTGGAGCGCTCTGGTAGCTTCAACTTGGCTTGGGGAGATGAGAGCCTGTTGCTGCTGCTGCTGTTGCTGCTGTTGTTGTTTATGGTGGAAGGGGCTCTGCTTGGCCGAAGGCGCACGTGCGGTGAGGAACTTCAGGCCCGGGACTGTGGAAAACGGGGGCCAGAGACGGCTCCTGCCACATGGGTGCAAGAGTAGCAACCAGCAGCGCCTGGCAAGTGGCTGGGTGTGATAGAGGGCCCCATAAAAAAATATTGTAGCAGCCAATTCAACCCACCAGCAGGGAGAAAACTGCCTGGCCCTTTCAACATCAAATTGTGACCAAATTTTGGAACTTGATGTAATCGGATTACTTCACGTAAGAAACAGACCGTAATTACAGGACATATCGCCATGCCTGTAGTCAAATCCCAAACCACGGGCTCTGGAGAAGCTCCGAAGCAGTTCAGTCAACCATCGAGAAAGGGCAAAAAGGCATGGCGGAAGAACATTGATGTCTCGGAGGTCGAACATGGCCTGGAAGAGCTGAATGAAGAGATCATTCGCGGGTACTTATTACCAAGACTAATATCGTGTTTTCTCATGCTGACTCTTCGCTCACAGTGGCGTTATTCGCGAGAAAAGCTCCTCGGAACTCTTCACGATCGATTTGAAGGGTGACTCTAAAATCTCCAAAAAATTTCCCAAGCACATAAAAAAGGGTCTCAAAGCAGACGAAATTCTCGCTCAGCGGTCAGCCGTGCCGGCCGTTTCTTTGCGTAAGCGACCCGGAGAGAAAACCAGCGATAAGATTTTCACTGTCAAGCGACAAAGAACCGATTGGGTTCCTCGCAAGGAACTGCAGCACCTAAAACGGGTCGCGGACGGCCACCATGGAATCGCTGTTCAGGCGACAGATGCAACATATGACATGTGGGGAGCGACGCCCACCACAATGAATGAAGCCGTTCATGATTTCTGGTCGTCTTCAGAGCCCGTCAAGCAACCGAAGTCTTTGAAACAAAAACCTATTTCTTTGGCTGCTAGTGGTAAGGCGATCGCAGCCGTGCAAAAACCCACAGGAGGATATAGCTACAATCCTTTGTCCACAGATTATGAAACCCGACTCTTAGAGGAGAGCGCCAGAGCTTTGGATGCCGAGCAGAAAAGAGTCGAGGCTGAAGAGGTAGAAAGACGCAAGCAAGAAGCGGCAGCCCGCTCTGCCGCCGAGGCTGAGGCTGCTGAAGAGCGTGCAAACATGTCCGAATGGGAAGAGGACTCAGAGTGGGAAGGATTCCAAAGTGGTGTTGAGGACGAAAGGCCGAGTACCAAGCGACCGCAACGCAAGACCCAAGCCCAGAGGAATCGCATCAAACGTCGAAAAGAGGAAGAAAGACTCGCCAAGCATAAGGCTGCGATGAAACACAGGAGGGCGCAAGAACAGCGAATCAAAGAGATTGCAGATGAGGTTCGGGACCGAGAGCAGAGCAAAGCTCTCATAACGGTAGAGGATTCCGATACCGACAACGAGGTTAATGATGAAAAACTCAGGAGACGGCAGCTCGGGAAGTACAAGTTACCGGAGAAGGACCTTGAGCTAGTCTTGCCAGATGAGTTGGAAGAGTCTCTACGACGATTGAAGCCCGAAGGGAATCTCCTCAAGGATCGATATCGAAGCATGCTCGTTCGAGGAAAGATCGAGAGCAGAAGACACATTCCATTCAAGAAACAAGCCAAGAAAAAAGTCACAGAAAAATGGACCCACAAAGATTTTGTCCTGTGAGCCATCCGTACTTGGTCAAAACACTGCGTTGCGCACACGAGGGAACTTTTCATCAGAAATAATATCACATGCTCCTATACAGTATGTGACGGGCGAAATATCATCTATTCCCCAGAGCAAGGATCCTCCATTACAAACCCCCCACTGCTACGAACAGGCTATTCTTGAACGTGGTCTCAGAATATTTCATCAATAAAGCTAGCAGGCAAGAGGCAACATGAATGTCTATTAGAAACTCATCAGGTCTAGTTACAAGTTAGCACGGGATCAAACATCTTCGCACCACGTTCTTCATCAATTATTTCGCCGTCTTGAGAGTTACTCACCTCGTCCAAATAGTCCACGTTTGGCCCAGTCCATGGCCAGCAAACACCGCGTACGGAAGCTCACACTTTGCGCAAAATAGACAGATCGCCATGCATAAACAGCCCAAAGACCCCCTGCCAGATTCCAGCCTTCACCCAGATCAAATACAGCAGAGTTTCCAATATATGCCAAGCTCCCTAAGTGGTGATATTCAAACGCTTTGTAGGCCGCAGCATCAAGGTCTCCATCTCGAATATCATTGGCTGACAGCCCTTCTGACAAGTGTGCAAGTTTGTTGAACTTCTGAGCAAGGTAGTAGCCTTGTTGGTGGGCCCTCTGAGCAGTCGCAGGCAGTGAGGTCAACTTGCTATCAATCTGGTTTAGGAGTTCCCTCAGCTCCCCGAAATCCAACGTTCCAGACTGGTCTTTATCGAACTCGGCAAAAAGCTTGTCTAGCCGTTTGAGGTGGTTCACGGACTGGGGAAAGCGCTTTTTCACGTCGTGCGCGACCTGACGCCAATCCTTGAAGTGCAGCTGAAGTGTTTCGGGGTCTTTGCCGTGCTTCCACGCAAGAGTGCGGAGAAAGGTTATAATGTGATCCGCAATATTGTTCTGAACAGTAGAGCAGTCTCCAATCGCATAGACGTCACCTAATGGTGTTCCATTAAGCCTGAGGTGTGTGTCGGTCTCCAGCGCATGACGATTGGTCTGAACGCTTCCTAGCTTATGAGCCAATTTCTGGCAAAGTGCTGTTGGGGACACACCAGTAGACCAAAGCACAAAGCCTGCTGGGAGCTCTTTAGTAACGAGACTGCCATCTTCTTGCTTTTGCGTGAAAACGATTTTGTCCGGGCAAACTTCCTTCACCCGCGAGTTTGTGAGAACGTCGACCTGATCTCGCGCAAATCGATCTTCGGCATACTTAGAGACAGTCTCGTCATAGGTGTTCAAAATATGGCTTCGACTCTGGATGAGATGAACGGAAATTTCATTTCGGAGCAACCGGGGAAAGTGCCGGGTAAGATCCTCATTCAAAAGATCGTACATTTCCGCAGCGAATTCAACGCCAGTAGGTCCACCGCCACTCACAACGAAAGAAAGAAGCCGTTTGCGTTCTTCGTCAGACGTCGTTGGCAAGCAAGCAACCTCAAGATTGCGGATCACCTGGTTGCGTATTTTCCTTGCATCGTCGATGTCCTTGAGAAAGAAGGCATTATCAAGGCCCTTGACACCGTGGGGGTTTGTGACAGAACCAACAGCAATTACCAACTTGTCATACGGTACGTAAAATCGAACCTCTCTCCCGCGGCTGTCCAGCTGAGACACCTCAACCAACTTATCAGAAAAATGGACATCTTCTGCTTTGGCGCGAATGAAGTGGCCATGAACTCGGCTCAAAACTCGACGAATGGGCTCAACAAGAGATCGAAACTCCAAGGTCCCCACGGTAGCTGAAGGAAGCATCGGTGTAAAGAGAAAATAGTTGGTGGGCGAGATCACTGTAACATGATAGTCGTCAGGATTTAGGCTTTTTAGGAGAGCAACACCACCCCAGCCCCCACCGAGTACGACGAGCCTAGGCTTGTCTTTGATTCGCTTTTTTTCTTCGCAATCGTCGTCATCGATGAACACCTCGGCAATTGGGAGGTTGTTTGGGCCGCCTCGTCGAGGCTGCAGAGCCAGTTGCGAAACATTGATGTCGCTCTGCTCCCCTTCGTGTTTGTAAGTAGTCGCATCATAGAGAAAGAAGGCAATCACCCCAATTCCAAGTACTGTTATAGATATTCCAAGCCAAGCACCGGCCCGGTAGCAAAAATTGAGTACCCACGAATTAACCTGGGGAAGAGGCTTCCCGGACAAAAAGCGGCAGTGAACGAATGGGTTCAAGTTGTGACGAACAGAAGTCAGAACTTTGGGCTGGAACCCAGCATTGATACGTGTTCGAGAGTGAGATGGAGAGCCGCGAGATAGTGTTGCTATAAAGTGTTTCCGTCGAAATACAACACAGAGGTTCGATTGCTGGGTTCTGGCGGAGCGTACCAATCCGGTAGCGATTTGTGTGAGAATGGGCGCTCGCATGTTGCTTGTTGGATGCCAGCGGCAAGCGGGCAAGTCATGGAACTCGCGGACTAATGCAGCATAACCAAGGACTAAATAACTTCGCAGGCTATGTAAAGGCCAATTGGATCTGGAGGAGCTGGGGGAAAAAAAGCAGGCTGTGTGAGGTAGAAGTCAAGGATACGCGGAAGCTTGCAAGGAGGTCGCGGGCCGACGTTCCAAGGTCGACATGAGGCATGCAGATAAGGGCGCTGCGAGGGGAGTGGCGTCATACATAAATTTGCTAGGAACAAAATGCAACCTGCACAGCGGACAAGTCGCTCAGAATTCAGGAGTCCCACCTGCTAGTCACTCAACCAATCTTTATTCACAGACGAAGACGTCTCCCTCACTGACTGTCCCGACAGTTCCGCGCAAGCAAATGAGATACGGCAACGACGTTGGAGATGATTGGATACCTGTCGTTGCCGCGGGGCGAAACAGCGAATTCTCGTATTTGCTCACGCGTGCTGCTTCCCCCTTCCGGCTATACTCGAACTATATAAACAGACCTTACTTTTATTTATATATTAATCTTATATTTTTACGTTCTCTTCTATAATTCAATTTAAAGGGTATGAGCGAGTTGAATAAAAATAAAATAAATTTAAAAATTATTAACTATTAACTTATTTAAAAAAAAATTAAAAAAACAAGCTTAATAAAGAGCATCTAGTTTATAAAGGGAAAACCCGTATACATAAGATAGTTAATAAATAAAGTTAAGTTACATTAAATAACAGTAAATATAATAGCTACGGCTAAAGCTTTAAAAGTATTGTATTTTTGTATTAGTACTAGTTATTAGTATAAAATACTATTTAAAGTATAATACATATAAAATGTATATAGGTAAATATATATTTGAAAACTTCTATTTTATTTTATTTATTATTATTATTATTATCACGTCCATAAAATTCTCACACTAATCTATACAATAAACGATGTAAATTTATCCAGCTAGACAGATAACACGTGCCCCGAGTATATACTGATACCCGCAGTAATCAAGGACGATAAAGTACCCTATTTCCATCCGCCGAGACATGGCCCTGTCTGATATCGCACAGGTCGTCTGGTTCAGCATCTAAAGTACCGCTTCTCTACCCAGCGTTGCTCCTGGTGTCGAAGTATATTACATACCACGACAGTGATCTCTGGGAACACCGTCATAAGCCTGTGGAGTCCCACGCGCCCGGCAGAATAGGTTGCCAGAACTATTCTTTCCAAGGAGACTCCATGATCTACCAGCACTTGGACAGCCATTAACGCCGCACCTCCACTAGCCATTTGCGTATCCAGCAACAAAACGCTTTCATGTTCATGGATATCTTCTGGAATGCGTAGATAATGGAGTTCGGGCTCGCCTGTGGAGAAGTCTGACTGAATCAATAGCCGCCCTGTCCGGCAGTCAGGGATCGTTTTCCGCAACGCGGATTCAAATGCCGACCCGCCTCGAAGCACAATTACTGCGCTGACTTCGCCCTTGGGCTTCAGTCCTTGGTATTTATGGCCTTGTGGAGTCTCTATTGCCAGAGATACGAATTGCATGTTATTCAAAGCCCTGTGCTCTTTGTTAGCGTGATGATGAGCCCGTGTTTACTTGACTTGGCCTGCGTGATGTACTGTTCAATAATGAGTGCCGCCAACCGATCAAAGTAGAAGATGAAGTCCTCCGCTGAGGTGTCAATATCTTGTAAAATTGTATTCATGAATTTCAGTTGCGGTGTATCATCCAGGATAACAACGCGATCTGAAAGGGGTTGCTCTTTGCAAGTAGCCTCAAGCCTGGAAAGAGCCTCACGGTGGTGGGTGGATTTTTCGAATAGCTTCTTCTCGATGAATTGAACCATCATATCTGCAGCTGGTATAAGTAGAGTAAGCAGAGCTAAACTACTCTGCTGACGGCCATACCTAATGCGACTCGGTTTTCGATACCCCGCGGAACGATTAAATCGGCCACTTTGCGCTGAGGTTCAACATACTACTCAAATGTTAAACCAACTGTCAGCAAATTTCTTCTACAATATTGGTCCCGCGCATGCTCACTACGCTTGGGCTTACTTTTTCAAAATTTGGTTTCACAAACCCGAACCACTGCTTAATGCATCCCTCAATATCTCTACCTCTTTCTCGCACATCCCGAACAACTATTAGCCAGGTAAGCCATGGGTAGAAAGTTTAAGGGACACAGACGCTCTGGTAAGAACGCACTTCGTCTCGACAAACATGTATCCGCGTCAGCTTCGCAGTAAATCTGTACTTTGGTTAGAATGAAGGCGAAGCAACAGACAGAGACTCAACCAACACCCATATCTAACAATTTGATCACTCGCGGGTCATACAAAGCAAAAATGCCTTCCAGTATTAGCACATGTGGGGAGTAAATTGATGTAGTTTGAGGAAGTCTCTGGTGTTTTTGGAACGAGTACACAGGTATCTCAGCTCGTTTTCTATCATTTTTGTTAGCCACAGTACGGTCTTCAGTGTGTGCTAAAACGGATATTAGGCGAAGTCTCCTTTACCCAGCTTTTAAGTCACGCAGGCGGTCAACAAGTATATCAAAGTCAATAGCCTATGAGCCATAGCATATAGCAGTATCAGTCTGTGTGGACGTAAGGTATTTTGTATTGGAGAGACAAACATCTGGTGAATCAAAATCGTATTCATTGGCAAATGCCAACTTGGATTGTTCAGCGGTGAGTGTCTTGTAAAATGAGTCCTAAGAGTTTGTCAGTCATGGACCGCGGATCCAAAACGAGTTTCCGGTACTGTCGGTAGCCATGTCTCACCATGGACAAAATCACAACCCAAGGCAAGTTGAGTTTCTTCACAATAGCCTGAGATAATGTGGACTTCCCAGAGCCCGAGCTTCCAGCCACCGCAATGATGCTGACGTCTGCCCAGGGAGGGGAGTAGTAGGCGCGTTTCTGGATGGTGACATGGCTTTCAAGTTCCAACATTTCTTCCTCGACCAAAGGAAGAACTGTCCAATCCCGTGTCTCTACCAGTAAAAGCAGGTGATCGGCATCCAATTGTGTGTGTTCGACGCAATTCCAGTGGCTCTAGTCGGTCTCCTACCCTCTGTTTCACAAAGGCAAATGGGGGCCAGGGTCTCAGTGCAGCCACTTTGAAGTAGCAAACTGGTCTATAGCTGAAAGGTAGAGAACAGCGCGTCCTCCTGATATCGCAATACCCTGTTGTTGTTCGAACTTACTTGCGAAGGTATTTGAATCGAAGGTTCAAACTGGTTTTGACGTGGGGGAGACGTGGGTCTGCTAATTAACAGGCCAGGCGGTCTCTAGGGTTGGACGGCCTTACCTCCCATGTATGCTTACTTCCAAGTTGTCTTGCTGAACTCCTTGGGCAGCAGAATTATCATTCTAGGCCAACAGGTTTTGGGTCGACTTCCTAGGTATCTGACGTGGTCGATTAGGTACTGAGAACTCGAGGCTCCTGTACTAGGTGTCAACAATTCGTTTAGCCAAGCTGCTAACTCCGTTGGCCGAGAGGTCTAGGCGCGTGCCAACTACCTAGGTACCACTGCACCAGAATTGCTACTGTCTTCACTTGCTCTTATTAAGCAGTCCCCAGTTGTAAGTACGTCCACAGCAGTGGCACGGCTATGGGCTGCATTTATGATGCCCACACGGAGGATTAACATTGGGAAGCAAGGGCCAGACTGCATAATCGAAGCCTACATATGTCACAGCGCCCGAGAACATAGAATGAGTCACACACAAGCACAAGCTTACAAAGGCAAAAGCTCATTGACCTCGCTATACGAATTACCAGGCGAGAGTGTACATGGGTTCACGCGAGATATAATATAATACTGTAGTCAACTGGTGTATAGTGCATGCTTGACAACAGAGTAAAGTATGGGGCCGATGAGGTCAACTGCTCTCGGGCGACCAGGACCTGAGTCAAGTCTTGTCTGGTGTACTTGACCTGATTGAAGCCGTAGTGGGTCAGCCCTTAGTAGCCGAGCACTGCAATCGTCTGGTCCAATGAACTCAGGTGCCAGCTGACCCAAGCGGAGCATTCCAAGTCAGATCAGAATCTTCTCCCAACCCATCCCTTCTTGTCGTCCTCCTACACCTGACACAGTTGCTTACCACACACGAGCTGCCTTCGCACGCCACCACTAAGGACCAGCTTGGCGTATTGACAGCAGCCGCAAATTGTAGGCGTTGGGGTTGACGTCTCTCTCTCGCCTTCAATGCACTGAAACGTGTTGTTTTCGACTTCCCCTACGGTCGTCCGCGCACCTGGGAGTCCATAAGCAGGTGTCCATCTCGCGATTTGCTCACTGACCAGGAAAGACAGCCCAATGAATCATGGTATGAATTCCTCTCCAGCGATATGGTGACGATGAATAAAATGTGTATCTAATGTTGAGAACTACTAGGCTTCTACATCTTCAACTGCAACCCCTTGCAGGCACCCATTTGAGAAGCGTGTCGATGATGTCAAGTCACCAAGGAGGTAGGGACAAGCCTTTAATTGAAAAAAACCCTGAAATCACACAATACCTAATGATGAACAAAATATAAATGGGAATCTCTCCTAGCCAAACCATGCGGAGAACCAATATTTTCTTTAACTTTCTGATCGTTAATTTAACCACTACGGCAACCCCGAATGTCCCAGACACACTGTCTTCTCCCTTCTGAGATTGTCAAGCTGACGATGGTTACAGCGACATTAATGCCTTGATTTTGGACTACTTGACAATGGAAGGATATCCAAATGCGGCGGCAAAATTCTCCAAGGAGGCGAATCTACAGCCGCACCAAGACAATGCATCTATTCGGGCGAGACAAGAAATTCAGAACCACATACATAGTGGCAGTATTCAGGCCGCAATTGAAGCTTTGAATGAGCTTGACCCAGAGGTGAGACTTGTTTCGCTCCGTCTTTTTATTCCCCCCCCCCGGTACAAATGATTATAATGAGAGTTAATACATGCACCACGCATATGGCTATATTCTAGCCAGTGATGAGAAACAACCACCAGCATATGATTTATTAGATTGGTTCCGTCCTTCATTTTTCATCATCTCTGCGCTCTTCCTAGCAGCACCACGCTGACCGCATCACACAGATCCTAGATGATGACAAAGCATTGCACTTTTCGCTGTTACGTTTGCAACTAGTGGAGCTCATCCGTTCATGTAATTCCGCCGGTGGTGACATTGGCCCAGCTCTCAAATTTGCTACGGAACAACTTGGTCCTCGTGCCCCGACCAACCCCAAATTTCTTGAGGATCTAGAAAGGACCATGGCGTTGTTACTCTTCCCTCCGGATAGCTTAGAACCTCAACTTGCGGCACTTCTCGACCCTGAACTTCGTCGAACTGCTGCTGACAGTGTAAACAAAGCCATTTTGGAGAAGCAGTCAGCTCGACGCGCCGCAGCCATTCGTCAGCTCGTCAGAATGCGAGTTTGGGCAGAGAACACTGCGCGGGACAAGGGGATCAGTCTACCAGATCGATTTGACATCGGCCTTCGAGGGGAAGAGCAGCGCCACCACGATTGCCAACAGTCTCACATTGGCAATGGCCATGAACCCATGGTAACCAGCTGATTCTCACTCGTCAAAGTCATAAGCTTCGGTGGTGGATGACATATGTGCTACCATATGCACCTGTTTTTTCTCTCTCGCCTGTTCGGCTTTGTGGGAAGTTGCTGGCAATTTCATCCAGACTTCTAAGCAATGCGTGTATGAATACGTTTAATGTCTTGATACGGTTTTTTACAGAGGGAAGCATTCATTCACTACGTATAGCGATCGGGCCTCTACGATAATGACGGAGTTTAGGATCAAAGGCTGGGAATGGGATATGCCAATCGACGCAAGTCATGAAGAGTCGTCTAGTATTCACTACAATATACATAATTCTTCAAGCTCTCACGTTTCTTTGTCCATGATGGCACTATGCTCTACCTATCAATATTTTGAGGTTCCCTTTGCAATCTAGAACACCTGCTAGGTGCGTTGTTTTGACCTCGGCGTGCGGGGGACGAGCGCAGTCACGGTTCGAGAGACTCGTGATTAGGAAACAATGAACGGGTGAACAGGAAGCTTGATATTCTAACTGCTCATGTGTGCATGACCTGATTCCACCAGGGCTAGCTTGACTCTTACTTCGTGCGAATATGTTTCAACTTCTTCGGCGAGTAAAGGAAGTTATTTGCGTAGGCCTTCGGCGTAAATTTGCGCGAGTTGGGTTCTTGGACAAAGTATTCGTATCCTTGTTTCTCGGCGAAGTGAATAGCATCCTCCTTGCTCTTGAAATTGACATGCGTACCCTGCATGAAGTCCCCGGACGACTGCCAACCCATCAAAGGATTCTCCCAGCGGTGACCCTTGGGGAGAATATCCCAATCCATACGCCAGCGCTCCGTTCTGAAATCTCCCGATTGTGTTGCAGGCTTGGCTTCTTTGTAAATTCTGCATCGATATTAGCCTAACGAGGATGTCATCCGAACGAATGCAGCCTACCGAACAGTTCGAGCCTGCAGCTCCATAGGGGCACCTGACAGCACGGCGGCTGGAAGGATATCCTCGCTGCCATCTTGAACGCGGGACGGTACAGGAGTAAAAGTGCTTGAGACAGAGGTTAGAACATATTCCATAAGTAGATGAAGCGCCGGTCATCTTCATACGAAGTGGCTTTGTCCGCGGGGACGTCATAATCGGGTTGGTGGGCGGTGTCAACTGGCGCGTTGGACGGGGTGAGTGAGCTTTGGAGCCGGCTCGGAGCAGTATATAGGCTCAATCGACTCGGCCCAGCCCCTTTCAGGAGCCTACTTGCATTGCGCAATCGCAGCGATGCCATGGCGTTCATATTTGGTGGCATTGAAGGGCAAACGTGAGTTAGAAACGAAGATGGATTTCTGGCTCAATACTCCATAGACTGCCGTGGTTGTGATAGCATGGCGCTGATTGGGTGGAGCAGACCGATGTTTTGCCGAAGCGAGCGCTTTTCGGCAAAGAAGGTTGGATCATGGTGTTTGGTCAATCTAGATCTTTACAATTGAGCACCAGTCCTTGCCTCATCACACCAAATTGGCTTGCATTTACACCCAAAGCCTCAACTTCTTAATCGTCATCATGAGCTTCGTAACTCGCCGAGCGCTTTCGACGCTCATCCCTCCCAAGGTACGTGTCATACAGGGTTGATTCACTAGCCGCATTTTCGATGCCGAGTGCTAATATTCGAGCTTGCAGGTTGCCTCTCCTAAGGTATGAATGCACGAAAACCACAGTCTCGTCACTACAAGACACGGCGACGACAGCTCGTGTAGCTCGAAATGGATATCAACCTTGGCTCTCGGAGACGTTGGTTCCGTACTCGGATAGCATTGAACTACGTCAGGCCGCCAGAGCGATCAAAGCTGATGTTAGGATTCTTTCAGGCAATTGGCGGCGCCCCTGACGCTCTCCGTATGCAACGCGTTGTCAGCTTTTATGAGAAACTCCCTCGAGGCGCAGCCCCCGAGGTCAAGGCTAAAGGTCTCCTTGGTCGATATCAGGCAAAGTACTTTGGCAAGAAGACTTCCGTGCAGCGTAGGTTCTTCAAACTCTTGACGTAGCTTCACCGATCCGTCACTGACAAGAAGCGTAGCTATTATTCACGTCTTGGCTCTATTGATCGGCATTGGCTATGCTCAAAATTACTACTTCCACCTTCGTAAGTTTCCGCTGCATGCATGTTCCAAAGTTGAGAATCAACCAATTACTAACTGCGGCTCTCTTATCGTACACAGGCCATCACAAGAACAACGCTCACTAATCTACGCTGTCAGAGGCTTGGCGACCGCATTTCATCGAGTTAACACTTAAAAACTGTGTAAATAGACTCTAGACGGCACTGCTACTGGCACCCCACTAGGATTGCTCCATTTGTAATTGTCCGGAAGACAAATGAATACATTGCATTAAACTTGTGCGTCGATATCTGGTACAGACACGTTTTAGCATATATGCCTTTCTATGTCGCCAGTAATTGGGGCTGATGAGGTCTCCTTTGTCATCGTGACCGACACTTGCCTGTCACAACTTTGAGGCCCTTTATGGTCAGGGTCTTGTTCTGGGGCGATTGATATCACTGCTGTCGCTCGTGATAAAATAGAACAGCTTAAAATCACACAAAATATTTATTAAACTGATTTGTAGGATAACCACGGGCAGTATGTGAACATGTCAGTTGTTCTGCAGCGGGGGACTTGATTGCATTCGCATCCATTTCCATCCGAAGACAATGCGAAAGAAAAATATGGTGCGGCTTTAGAGGTGCACATCGACGCGAACTACCTGAATATTGTTGACCCCACTGACCAGACCAGAACAACATTTGAAGACCATGAATATCGCCTCCAGTTGCTTGCACACATCAAACGCGCTCTAGCACCTGACCACCTGGCAGCTTCGCATTTTTTGGACGCCGAGCCCCACTAACGGCGCTGAAAGCGCCCCAGCTCATCAATGATCGTCTTCGGGCTAAATGACGCTAAACCAAAACCAGGTGACTGCAGCTTAGAACACCAACTCACCTTCTGCTCATGAGTTCTGACTGGCCTCCGACCATACCTTACTTACTTCGGTTTCACTCAGCAAAACCAACACATCGCGAGCGACGCGCACGCCACGACATTTCATCGAGACATTTTATGCGTGTAGGGGCATTATAAGAGAGCTTGCCTCTGCGCAAACTTCTTGAGGCCGACCCTTCATCGATCGCACCCTGAACTCCGCAGAAATCATTGTCGTTACACCATACTGATTTTCATCATCTGGCATCTTCGCTCAATGCCCAAAGTCTAGTCGAGCCTCGAACTTGCCAGTAATCTTTCACAGGCTCTTCGATTATTGGCTATTTATCATACAGCAAAACATATCCTGGAGTCTGGCTTGGTACAGACCTTCAATTGTATTGCGCACGGCGCAGATCATACTACTACGTCGGATGATGGCAACAGAGCATTCCGGCGATAAACTTGCTGATGTCTCTATCTCATCTCAGCAGAAACCCGTCAGTAATTTTTTTTTTAAATAAATTTTCGATTTCCCCAGTGGGGAGAATGTCGGATATTTGCTTACCATGGATTTATGTTGGGAGCAGGACGGTCAAGCCCACGACGTCGCTTATGACCAATCGAACGCAAACGGCAGCTCGACCTCGAACGGCGATGAGATAACCAATAAGCATGTCATCAGCATTGAAGAGCAGCTAAACTCTGCTGATGTCAGTATTAGCGGCGGATCAGATACGGAAGCCTCGCGCCAAAGGGACGGAGAAAAGGGCCATGGGCGATCAGCCTCATCAGCAAAAAAGCCTGCAACTTTCAAGGCCGTGTCGGTTAATAAGACATTCCTGGCTTCAAAAAGCAGCCCCAGCGGCGTCGCCGCCAAACCAGTGGATAAACCCGCGACGGGTTCAAATACTCCGCCTCCGGGGCCGAGCGCCTTGTCGTCGTCGCGGCCACGTCTTATTGCTAAGACTGGAACTAGCACTAGAGATTCGGCTCCTCGGTTTTCTTCTATTATCAATGGCGCTAAGCCAGCTTCAACTCCTGACCCAGGTGCCGTTTGGAACAAGAACAGACGTAAGACCATACTCCTATGGTTTAGAATATGATGTAGGAAACTAATCACTGGAACTAATCTAGCTCCCGAGCCCAAGAAGTTCACCGATGAAGAACTAAAGAAATATGGAATTCATATGGCTAGTCGCCTCAATGAAGACGATACACAGGGGCCGAATAAATGGGCAGATATTGACGACGACGACGACGATTGGGCACCAGAAGCAATTACCTGGGGTGATGGAACCAAAACGACACTGCCACATCTGGATGAGCCTCAAACGTCAGTTCACGACAAAATGGTGGTTCCAGTCTCTAGCAAATCTCAGATGAAACCAAACTCACCAGGGCCGACCATGTCTTCTGGGTCGGCCATGTCAAGACCTGGAGGACTGACTGCGGGAAGAGGATTAGTATTTAAGCCTGCGTCTCAAGAAAAGCCGGCAGTAACTTCTAAACCGCCTGTTTCTGCCGCCCCTACCAAATCGCCGTGGGCAACCTTGCCTCCGGTCGACAGGGCCTCACCAGGATTAGCAGACCCTTTGCCGTTACCCCATAACGAGGCAAGAGATGCTATAATTTTCAAACCCTCTAACCACCCACCAAAAGAGATTGCCGCTGATGACTTTACGCGTTCATCTTGGAGGGAAGGCGCTTCACATACCAACAGGGAACTCTTTAACTCGCAATCTGGCCGCTACGAACCAGTTTCGGACCGACGGGGCTCAATCAAATCAGAATCTCACATCAAGTATCCAGCTTTGCTTCAAAGGCCCCAGCCTTCAGAACAATCTGTGGAACCACATGGACTACCTCTCACTGGCCGAATGCCCCAAGAGGCTCCTTTTACTCGACGCCGAGGATCGTCTAGCGTCAGCGCAGGAAGTGGATTGTTTCAGCAGAAGATGGGGAAGAACAATGACACAAATGTGTCTCTTGTGCCGCCTGTGGATATGATAACCGCAAACAGAGCATCGTTCTCAACATCTCTAGAAAGTCCTGTCTCTTCAAATGAGCCAGGCCTTTCTGGTCCTCTCTCTAAGCAACAGGCATCACAACCACGAGTAACGACATCTTCGCCCGGCTCGGCGTTCACAACGCCACAGCTCAGCGCAGCCCATTCTGATCCAAAGCCTAATTCTCTTCAACCCTCGAGTGGTGATATCGTCGATGAGGTGGAGTATCAGAAAAGACTGATGCGTGAACGGGTAGAGCTTGCTAAAAAGCGTCGACAGGAAGAAGAGGCGCGGGAAGAAGCTGCCAAGCGAGAACGTATTCAAAAGAAGTTGGAATCCTTAGGCCCTGCTCCCGAAAAGCGAAGTGGCAAAAAGGAGCTTTCCTTAAAAGCTGATATTATCAAACCCACGCAGATTCAACAGCGAGAACGGCCAGTTTCTAGTGACAAGGAAAGTTCTCCAGGTGGAGAAGTATCACCAGTGAGCCCTATATCAACAGTCCCAAGTCAAGCCGACGGCCCGGTGGTCAATTCTAAAGTTCATTCTTCGAATTCCTCGCTCCCGCCACCATCAACAAGCTCCAGAAGACTCTCTCATGGCCAAGAATCACGGCGTAATGATCTCTGGGGCGGACAAGGCGCTCGTGCAGACAGGTTTCCATCCTGGGGCGCTGGGGCGTCGCCATCATCGCGAAATGTTTGGGGGTCTCCAGACAATGACCGCGGCTTAGGAAACGGAACTTTCAACCCAGATCTTGGTAGGGTCACGAATGCTTCCTCAGCAGCATCGCAAGGACCAAAGGGACCACTGCCAATTGCACCACCTAGCAATACCGCCAGAGTCCCCCCAAACAGTCAGCCTCAGGCTTCTCAAATGCCTTCGATCAGCTCACAAAACCCTCGATACGGGCCACCGGGGCCGGATCTTGCAAGCAAGTGGGTCACTTCTGTCGCAGAAAATGACAAGAAGTTAAGCGCTACGAGGCTGACGGAGCGGGCTAGCCGTGAGCGTCAGTTGATGGAGAGGGGATTAACTATGGAAGATACACAACCAACGATCAAGGAAACCTGGCGCCCCATACATGTTCCAGGTGATGGGACACGTCGCAATATTGGTACGGCGGACGTGCAGTCCCATCAATCAGCGCCTTGGAAAGCAACTAAAGATGCGTCCCAAAAGGGTACGACATCTTTGGAAGATTCAGCCCCCTCTGCGAATGCTGGTATAATTGGCTCCGGAGCACCATCCCAGTCGCGACCATCAAGATTCTTCCCAGCCAAAGATATACGCCATGAAACGCTTTCTGGGCGCAGTTTCTCACGTCCATCCTCTCCGACTCCGCCTCCGCCTACGATGGAAGGGCATCCAGCATATGAGGGGGATGTAATGCGACCACATGTATCTCTTCCTAAACCTCAGCCGGTTGTGAAACTTCCACCTACAATGTGCTCAACACAACGTCCCCCATCGCGCTCCAGTAACGTTTGGTCGACTCGAATCAGCCCGAAAGACGGTCAGCGAGAAGAGCCTGGCCGTGATTTACCACCGGGCAACGAGCATAACTGGCAAGCCAGATTCCATAAATTGCTCCATGGAGACAAACCGCTCCAAAGCAGAGATACCACCGTTGACGTCTCTAGCAAAGGCTCATTCGATCACCCTGGCTATCAAACCTCCGCCACCGTTTCTCTCCCCGTCGTACCCCCAACACAACCTGATACTGGTTCCCATTTACTTATATCTAAGCCTATGGCAGAAGAGTGTTTTGAGGAGCAAGAGATGGGCTCTCTGCCTCAAATACGTCTCCCTCATAAGGTACCAGACGCAGCATGGCAGCCTGCTGTGGCTCAAGCGAAAACATTACCTAAGAGATTCCTTGTTCAAGCGTCCATCATGGAACCATTTCGTCCTTCAGACCTCCATGGGGGCCAGAATACTATCAATGTTTATTTCCCAGGAATGAAGGAAGTGAAATCTGTGCCGATTCCTCACTCTGTAGCTCGAGGTTCACGAGGCTCCCACGCCCAACGGACGGCCTCTAGACATCGGGGACTCGGTAGTGGAGCACGAGGGAAGAAAGAAACATCCAACGCCCAGGACAATGAGTCTAACCACGGTCGGAGTGGCAGAGGTGGCAGAGGAGGGTATCCGTCGAGGCGAGTCGACAATTGGACCCGACATCATTCCTCTCCGTCGCAGTTTCCCGGCAAATAGAATCATCATGATTACGGCCGTGGATATTTTTATGGATTGATGCGAACTATATTCACCTCAGCGAGATACGCTGCATGTCCGGTCGCCTTCATAAGGGTCCTAACCTGTTAGGACAGCGGCCAGCTCTTCTTTGCAGACAAGATGCGCCTGAATATGCTCGCTTCGCATGGGATCGAAGCGGCGTGTACTAATAAGATGGGGCATGTTAATGTACATTCGCGGTGGGCTGTATCTGGCGATGCTGACTTCTTTCAACCCTTGTTGTCTTTTTCTATTTTTACACTTTTCTCCTTATTTTGCCGTACGGCATCTTGTTTAGCCCTACGTCTGACGGTTGATATGGTGTGGCGGGTAGCTTAGCAGATGTCGAAATGAAATGGACTCTTGATTTCTGTTCTAACTATGCAAATACCATGGAGTCTTCTACTCTACTACTCAGAGATCGTGCCGATTGGACAAGTAACCATTGGGAACTTCATCCCAGCCTCTAGAGTAGTGAAGATTGAAAGCTACGAACAATTAGACATGGCGTCCCTGTATGCCGACTTCCCTTTGATGGAAACCTTTGTCTTGTATTCGCCTGAATTAAACAAAACACTTGTGCCACTGCATCAAGATGGCAGGACCCGATGTCCAGGTACGAAAACTACATACAGATATCAAAACATGTGCGACCACAGTATCGAAATACAATTCCGGCGAAGAGTTGAGTAGCAATCAACTCTAAAGAATCTAGTTAAATATAATAACGTCTTGCCAGGCATACAGTATCATGCAAGTCCGCCTCATAAATTGCTACATAGGGCAACAAGCCCACAGTCAGTTGCCCTCAACATATTGCGTAACTAAACTCCAAACTCCAAATTCCTTAGTCAAGATCTAGGTGGATGGTTGCCCAGGCACTTTTGCTTGCAGCACACAGGGAGCGCTTCCTTCTTCTTAGAACTCCTCCACTGCGCAGTTAGGGTGGAGGACGTAAACTACTCCAGCAGCGCTGGACGAACTTTCGCCGTCTAAAACTTCTCCTCGGAGGGCCATTAAAATGTTGTCCTAAGGGGGCGTAGGTTAGCTCCAAAGATGAGGAATAAATTTTTGTGCACCTACTTTAACCATTTTCTTCAGAACTAAGTTGGCCAGAGCTCTTTCAGTATGGTAGCCATCTTCACCCTCCAACTCCTCCTCCTGCTGTTCTAAATACCAATTAATGAGATCCTCGCCATCTACGCCGTCCCCGCTCCCGTTCTCGTCGTCGCTGATTCGCTGTACTATCATGTTGACCATCTTAATATATTTGTCGTATGTAACTGTCCGTTTCTTCTTCGTATGCGCGTTTTCCACCAGTGATGAGCTGCTACGTGGCTCCTCATCCATCGCCATAGTGTTGTCGGCTTGTCTCTCAGACGCAGCCTCCGCGGCACGGCGAAGAACTTGACCATCTTCTTGCGATTCGTCGTCCTCCATCATTTCTACGTCATCATGTTCAACTGAAATAATGCTCTGGCGAAGCAAGTCATATGCTTCACACACCATTTTGGCGTCAATCTCCTCGACACAATTCACTTTAGCAATAGCCTCGCTAAGACGAATCATGCTTTCCAATTGTCGTACAGTAATACGGTACGAGTTCTTGCCGACTCCTCCTTGAGCGTCGTCGGCTCGCAATTCCTTATATTTCGTGACCAAAACATCTCTAGCTTCGTCCGTAAACACTGGGCGAAATGTTTTAGCAAATCGGATGTACCGCTGGAGCTGCTCGGTGCTGAACTCAGGCTCGACCGCCTCGTCACGCAGCTGGTGGATGCCGACAATATGCTCTGCGAGATGGCGATCAATTTGTTCGTTACACTCATCGAGGATAACAAAAAATAAATCGAATCGAGACATGATTGGTGCCGACATGTTAATATTGGACCTCAACGTCGCCTTGCGGTTGTATCTTCCCCCGACCGGATTCGCAGCAGCCAACACACTAGTTCGAGCGTTAAGTGTTGCCTGGATACCAGCCTTGGCAATGGATATTGTCTGTTGTTCCATCGCTTCATGAATGGCCACTTGATCAGCCACATCCATTTTGTCAAATTCATCAATAGCGCATATGCCATTATCTGCTAACATCAGAGCGCCAGCCTCAATAGTGAACTCTCCCGTCTCTTCATCTTTGACCACTGCCGCAGTGAGACCTGCGGCTGAAGATGCTTTTCCACTTGTGTAGACGGCTCGTGGAGCAAATGAGCAGACATACTTCAAAAATTGGGATTTGGATGTAGATGGGTCCCCGACAATGCATATGTTGATGTCACCGCGCAATTGCATTCCTTCGGGTGTCGTCTTGTGCACACCTGACATGAGCTGTAGTAGTATGCCCTTTTTGACCACTTCATGGCCATATACCATGGGTGCTATGGACTGTACCATACGGGAGTATATGTGATCACCATGGACCATTGTTCGCAGATCTTCGATCTCCGACGGGTTCATCGACGCAAGAACAGCGGCTTGTGCATCTTCTATGGAATCGGCTCCTTCGACGGAAGTGCTTTGAGTGAGGGCGTTTACTATATCGGCAGCACTATTTGCCGCTGGTTGACCCGTGCTCGAAGTATCAGGGGCAACAAAACAGGCCAGAAAAGCAAGGCGATATGTGAGGTCACGAACACCCAGGGCCTTCAGACCCGTGACACCACTTCCTCCTGCATCATTACCACGTGGTGCCCCTCGATCATCGCGAATAGCTGTTGGTCTCAGTCCTGGCAAACCTAGCTGGCTAACGTCAGGGACGACGATAAGAGCACCGGAGAAGATGCACTTCTCTCCTGCCTTGGCTCTATCCACAATCTCGCCACGGAGAATGACATCTAGAGTCCTAGGCATGCTACCGGTAGGGATCTCGGAACTGTTCTCTTGAATGCGAACCTTTTGCCAATCGACAAAGGTGCTGTGCCGAATATCTAACTGCCAAGCAACTCTATTCGAGCAGGTTCCATTGGGACACTGAGTCGGCTCCGTGTATCGGAAAGTTTGCTCGACATTTGGCACAACAGCTCTGCACGCTTCGCAAACAAATGTGGCTAGTGACAATTCTGGCCGAACCTCTGAAGTCCTAGTGACCGTGCCAGAAATGGAGAGGAGCTGTCCAATATTCGCTGCCCGCAGGCTACGGACCCGTGAGACAAGAGGCAAATTATAAAAGGCAATAGAGAAGAGCTTATCCGTTTGCTGGTGCTCATTCTTTCTGTGAGAGGCGTCACTCTGGCTGGCAGAGCCAAGCTGGCTAGCCGCCGAAGTTGACAGTGCGCTCGATGCTGTTGGCTGGCGGTGTTCCCGAAAATACTGCGGTTCGTATTTTGCGATCATATTGTGTAGAGCTGCCGTAAGAAAAGGCAAAAATCGATAATACTGGCGCATTACTCCATCAGCCAGACTACCATTTTCCCACGCAGCGAGATGTTTGTAATCAACGTAGAACGTAGAAAGCTGCATATTTCTCATCGACCTGATTTGTGCTACATAGTATTTGTCTGTAGTGACAGCGCTCGAAGTTGGTGCGCTTGATAGTGGATCTTCGGCAAAACTGCAGGATGTTATTTTTTTTTTATCGATTTTTGAACATGAGCTTTTACCAGAACTTCCTCGCTTACCTCTCAATGAATGCTTCAAAATGCTCTTGAACAAGCACTCCTATTCGGTCCTCAACGCGAGGGACACTGGCGGCATCCGGGATGCGTGAACTTCGCGGGACTTGGTCATCGGCAAAAGCATCACCCTCGTCGTCACTAGCCGCACCAAGGTTCTCTGACGGAGGTCCTCTCGGCCGAGTTGAGGAAGAAGAAGGGAAGGCCATATGTCGCCTTTGCACTGTCGCCAACGACGGCGCATCGGACATCATGTACCCAGCATCACTAGAAGCCATTGCACGCGAAGATGATCTTTCGGGTCTGCACCTAGCCGCGTACTGCGTTGCCTCTGCTGAGGTGGCTGCTCGTAAAGACAATTGGAGTGCTCGGATGAAAGAGCTTCGATGGTCCGTGAAAGAGTAGTTTCCGTCCTGAGGGATGGAGGTCTCGTGCCAGATCGTAAAGGTCCTGTAGATGTACTGCCAATTCTCCATTCTGGAGTTGAGAGAAAGGCGCAACGCGGTGCGCGTCCCAGACGCGTGAGAGGGGCTCTTCCGGCGCGTTTTTAATTAATTGCATAAACGGTCAACGACTCCGTAGTGGCGCTAAGAACCAAAGGCACCTAACCTAGTGTGCTAATTTTGAACTGGCCAATTGCTGTCTGGGGGCGAATGGCACCCGTTTGCAGTTCTGCCGTGATGTGGTGGTCGAATTGTAATAACTGTAGGTAGCCAAATTGCAAACATGACATTGGGCGTTGTCATCTGGCCTTCTCCATTGATTGGTACATTTAAAGGCAACCTGTTACTCCGTACATACCTAGGTAGTTTATGATCCTGCTGACATGTCAGGCCGGCCATGCCATGCGGCGGACTAGTTAATTTCTAGTTAGGTCTGATTGAGACCAAATTTCTTAAAGCGGTCTACGACATAAAATACATACGGTATATTTATTCATTATTTTTTTTTAAAAAAAAAATATGAAAAATAAATAAATAAATAAAAAGGGCTAGATCAAGAGCATCTAGTGGCACTGTATTTTTGGCCATATATCTATTCATAGTACTCATAGTACCACCATAATAGGCCAAGAACGCCGAAACCATGAAGTATTCACCGCTCAACCCTGCGTCGTCTTGGCGAGCTGTTGGTAAGATCTAGTAGAGATTCCATGATGATATGCCCCGAAAATATCAAACAACTTGGCAAGTTCTGGGCCATAATTGAGCCCAAGTTGAGACATAGACCGTCATCCATTACCAGCCGAGTCTGCATTCGTCAATAGAGCCTCATCGCTCAGCAGAGCGCTAGGGCGTATGGATCTACCACAATCAGCGGCTGTATCATCAGACATGCTGGGACATATTGTACTTGCCTTGTTGGCAG